CAGATTTGAATGATCTGGGGTGGTTGCTTGATCAGAACTTGAAGGAGATTTACAAGAGGTTTGATGAGCTCAAAAAGACTGCCCCCCCTCCTCCCCCTCAGCAGCACGTTGAGCCGCCACCACCACCACCACCACAGATAACAACAGGTAATTTGCATATGCAGGAGCAGAAACCGGCGGTAGATTTAACAATGGATGCCATGCAAAGGCCACAATGGTTCACTGATTGGATAAACAATCCGAGTGATCATCAGCAAATGAATTCTTTTGGTCATGGGGATGAAATGATGCTGACATTTGGTGATAATAATCACAATACAATGTGGTCTAACGTCTTCTTCCCTTAATGAACATTACAGAGGTTCTTCTCCCTGGATGATCATCTTCCAGATTTTAAAATTCTTCCAGCTTTAATTTCTTTACACGTTTTAATTTTAAGGTCGTAATATTACTATTTCTAACTTGCTTGATCCCCATGGACACACTCCCTACGAATATATTGGTCGGCCAATTTAACCAGTTGTTGATACCGTCATCCCCTATCAAGTTTGATATGATTGGAACAAGATAAGTGGAAGATGAAATAAAGTAATCACAAACATAACACCAAAATTTTACGTGGAAACCCAAGATGGAAAAAAAACCACGGACAGAAGAAGAAAAAACACTAGATCAAAAATCAAGATCAATGATTATTGTTATAAGATTTGACTCACTCTTCACCAAATTTAACGTGTTTCTAATGATATGAAGAGTCTACAAGTCACGGAATATATATACAACCTCTAAAACAGTGTTTGAAATAGGAGTTCCCAAAAACACGTAGGAAAAATGAAAACATGCCTCGTCGGATAAGTGGCCGCAGCTAGCAGCCGCATTGGCGCTCGAGCCCAAGCTCGCACCCAGTGAGCTACAAACACCCTATTCTAGGCGCTTCAGCGGAAATTAGGTTTTCAACGAGTGAAAATGCGACAACTTTTTCTCATTGCTCCATATTTGGACTCATTCAAAATCTCTTTATCTAAACACCAATTCCCTTTCAATTAAAACACCAACTTTTAATAAAATTTGGGTCATAACTCAACAAATTTTAAAAAAATTACTACATATTCCTTACTATATATTAAGACATATTGGGCAAGAATGCAGTATGTCACTTAGGTAGGACTTTGTATTCAACCTTAGGGCTAAGTTATTTAAACTACTCAAACATATAAATTGGAGCGTGCATAACGCGACAAATTAAGTAGAAAGTCGTTGCACGAACGCTTGACAAATTTTTTCACCACAAAATGCTTCAATTTTCTTAAAAAAAAAAAAAAGGATATCTATAAGTTAATCATATCGTTTATGTATCTATTTCTCAACCTCTTTACAAATTATCATTCATAATCGTATTTCTTGCCACATATTGATTTCTTGTTTCTTAAATCAAATTCACATGGTATGGCCAATAGCCATTGCATAGTTTGAATACTATGGTCAATGATTACAAGATATTTTATGACATATAAAAAGTTGCCACAATAAGAGATTTAATTAGCGCGACACGTTTATAAAGTTTGTTCCAAAGACTGCAATGAAAAAATAAGTACCAAAAAAAATTATGATGACATAAAAAATTGTGCCATATGTCAAAATGGGCAGTAAATAATAAAGCTTGTTGCAAAAAATATGAGCAAAGCAAGGTGTCAAAATATTTTTCGGTGGGAAACTTATAGTGACAAACTTTCATTTCTTGTAACAAAGTGTTTGTGATGCAATAAGGTTTACTTTTTACCACAATGAATATTTGTTGCTAAAAAAATTTCTATAAATGGGGGAAAAATCAATATAAGAAAAATTGCTTTTTGCCATGAAGAAAAAATCTTTGTTGTTCGTCCTTCACGATGTTCACCCTTATGTTGTAGACTATAATGTTATCGTAGAGTGAGAATATATGGTAACATGCAATATGAGTTGCGAAAGCCCTTAAATGGACATTGCTTAGTTTTTGCAACGTTCTTCACGATTTGCTTTTATTATATATTGCAACTTTTTTGATGCTTGTGTTAATTTTTTTTTGCAATGGTCACTAATTTTTATGCTTAGCTTTTTAGCAAACATAGTGATGGAAAAACTAAGAACAAAAAATATAGGGAAAATTGTAGTCACGGTATCAAACTTTTCACTTTTTTTGAGACTTTGCCCAAATTTTTAACTTGTGCCACCCACTGTACCAAACCTTTTAAAAATATGCACCGAAGGTCCGAATGGATGGTTTCCGTTCAATTGACCATTAATTGACCAAAAAAGTCAAAATTGACCAAATTCATTAAAGACAAAATGACAAGTTTACATTTTTTCATATAAAATAATTATAAAGAAAAGAAAAGAAATAAAAAGGCTAGCCACCCCACACCACGCAACCTCGATTTCTCTTCCCCAACCAACAATAGTGTTGACAGACCGCTGGCACCTCCACTACCTCTATGCTGACAAAACCCCGCGAATCCACACCCTACAGTATCTACCATGTCTTCCTCGAATTCCCCTTAAACCCTTGAACCCAAATTCGAATCTACAGAGAATTCCCACAATGAATTTACAGAAAATTTCCACAATGAATCATGTCATCACCAACAGTGGAAGCAGGAACCTCTGAAGAAGTTAACTTTAAAGCGAATTCACTCACATGCTTCTCAGTCTTAGATGGGTTGAAGACAATAACCTCCTTCCCAATCCAGACCACATTTGCAAGAGCCTTTCCAGCTGCAATAATCCTCTGAATGTGAGCTTTATTTTCCTTATTGCCACCATCACTTCCAATACTATGCTTCCAGTGAGAATGAGCAGAAGAATTTACAGAGAATTCTCGAATTAGGGCTTGCAATTCGGGTTTGGGTTCATGGATTTGAGGTGAATTCGAGGAAGAGATGGTAGATGCTGTGGGGTGTGGGTTCACGGGTTTGTGAACTCTAGCTTGATGTTGGTAGTTTACAGGGTTTGGGGAGGAGGCGACGACAGTCGTGGTGGTGGGAGGATGAGGTGGTGGAGGCCGAAGCATTCTTGAATCTGGGTGGAGGCTGGAGCAAAAGTCGGGGGAAGAGGAAGAGGGACCGCTCGAGCTGGGGAGAAAGAGGACGGGCTGAGGAGGAAAAGGTGGTGCCGATGCCGATTGGTGGTGGTTGAAGCAGTTTTGGAAGTAAACTTACCATTTTGTCCTTAGTCAATTTTGATTTTTTTGGTTAACTAACGATCAAGTGGACGGAAATCATTCATTCGGACCTCCAGTGCATATTTTTGAAAGGTTTGGTACTGTGGGTGGCACAAATCAAAGGTTTGGACAAAGTTTGCAAAAATATGAAAGGTTTGGTACCGTGACTGCAATTTTCCCAAAAATACATAAGACAACTTTAAAAGTTGTCATAATATGTCTAAAGATGCGCCAAATAATAAAAAAATATCGCAAAAATTATGATGGAAGAAGCAAAAATTTACTTAGATGGAAAACTTAGATAACAAATTTTAATTTCTTATAACAATGTGTTTGCAACGTAATAGGGTCAACTTTTTGCGATGGACTTCCATTTCTTGCAACAAGCATGTATATTTTATCAAGGTTCCTACAATATATATGTACATTTAGTTTAATTTTTTTAATCAACCAAACATATGTTCAATTATTTTTATTTTTCAGTATTTTAGTTTAATTTCTTATCAAACTATTTGTGTTCCACCAAACACATCACTGACCCCCCTTTTTATTATTATTATTATTATTATTATTATTATTTGTAATTTACATTAGCCTGTCCAAATTGTTTACGGCCCCCCATAGTCCAAGCCTAAAAATGAAAAAAATTAAATACAAAAGAAAAAATTATAACACATTAACCCCTGCCCAATTCTCCAAACCCAAATCTAGACGTTTCATCCTTGCCATCCGCTCATCGCCCCCGCTGATCAACGCCGAACCTCTCAACAAGAAGCAGGAATGGCATCTGGGCAACAGTGCCGTTTTGGAGGGTGACAGGTTTTATGAATCCCAGTCTTCTCTTCTAACAGTACTGGAGAATTCAAGTTCCCTCTATTACATCAAGTAACATTCTAACGATTTTACCAGCGTTGGTCTATTGGATTTTTATGGTTAGAGAGGAACAATGCTAAGTTTAATGGGGTTAAGTTGAATACCAATAGGCAGTAGGGTTATAAAAAGAATTAAATTTTTGGTTTCAAATTTGACGAGGGTTGCGTTTGTAAGGAATTTAAAGTTGAATGGAGCTATAGTCTATTGGTGGAAGCCTGGAGCCACTTGCATGATGGTTGTAATTGAACACGGATGGGCCTTTAAAAAGTGATAAACAGGAACTTTTAGTGATATCGTACACCTGTGAAAAAAAACAAAAAAACAAACAAACACCTACCCTCTTATTATATTGCACCAACCATGTAAAGG